TTGATTTTGACACATTCTGACTGCAGAATTTTATCACCTAGGAGCAGAACAGCAAATTCTACCTCTGATAGGTTTATTCTTTAATTTACACAACAGCAGGAAGAATCAAAATTAGCTGGGTTAGGGATATTATAAAATGCTTATTGTGGCTTCCCTTTGGTTTCAGTAACAGAGTTTACATTATACAGATGGAGACAACAAGTCCCCTAAGTACATATTCAGGCTGGCAGTGGGTGATCCATCATAACAGGGTAGAAGTTGTGATTTGCTCTGCTCAGGTGAGACTTATTTTTTTAAAATACACTCATTTTTCTGTAGGTATAAATGATACTTGCAGAAGGTGGGGGATTGTGGGAAGCGTTGCTTGATAGTTTAGGTTTTGTCATAAAATGAATTATTTAATCATGACAACCTAGCTGTATCTTTACTCTGAATTTCAAGAGAGGAAATACTTTTGTCTGTTGTAGTTCATTCTGCTTTGTCTGTTGGTTTTTCTACCTCAGAGCTAGTGTACCACATGTCCATTTTTTCCTAAGCTGTATTTGAACTCTTCTTCCTTTCACATGCTTTGTAACCTAACTACCCTCAAATGAAGCAGTTCACTGTTTCCATGGGCAGTCCAGGCACAAGTGTGAAATCCCTTCAAACATTATGGCTTTAACTTTTGTTATAGGGGACATTCCATTTGCAGAAATAAGTTGCATATACATTCTACCTCTGAGTTTTATGAATGATATATAAATGTTATTTACTGTTAAAACGGTGCATGATCTTTCTGAAGTGTCTGTGTTTTATTAAAATAATTTAAAAAGAAAGCCCCTAAAACGATGTTACTACTGGGTGTCTGATTGCCAAGTTAATCTCTTATCACAAGTCCCATTGATCTTCTGTTTGAGCAGCTGAGAGTCTGTTTTATGTATAGCGATCTTTCATAAAGTTTATTCCTGGTAATAAAGCTAACTGGGGTGAGTGCCAAGCTATTCTCAGAGGCAGTCTGCTCTCCACAGGAGAAGTATTTTATTTTGTTAGATGGGGTTATTGTTTGGGTATGTACTTGTGGCAGAACTAGCGAAATGGCTAGCGAGTGAGTCAAACTAGGTTCAGAGGTGTACTCTTACTGGTATGAAGTTAATGGCATTGCTGTGCAATAGACATTCAGATCTGACTTTTAATATGATGCCCAGAGTCATGTGCATTTTCTACTTATTACTCTATGATATTACTAAATTGGATTGTTAATCTCTTCTGTGGTGTGGCAGAAACCTTAAAAAAAACAAAACAAAAAAAAAACCCCGTACTATGAAACAACCAAAAACCCCTCCAGCCTTTGACTTTACTTGTATTAAGTGGATAAAGTTTCATTGTGTAATCGAAAATAATTTTACGTCACAGAGCACAACTGTATTGGTTTATCTCAAATTATGTTGGTTTTCAGATTTATTTTTTTTTAACTCTTTCATCAGTGTGCATTTCTGTTGAGGTACTTAGTGTCTTCATAACAAAAATACATGTAAATTTAAAAAATGTATTTTAAAATATTAGTAGCTAACCTTCAGTACAGTTACTTTATGTAAAGTAAAATGTTACTTTTAGTGAAGTCTACCTAGTTTTATTCCAGAGTTTATGAAGTATTACTGTATATTCTGGAGGGTTCAACAGGTGTCAGGGCTCGTGTTCTTTTAAGGTAATTAGTTTAATATTCATATGAAAATGGCAATCTTACTGCTATGCACAACAATCTATTAATACCTATAGTCATCTGGCAGTTTTGGGAAGCAGTGGTGGTTTGTATGCAGCCCTGTGCAAGTGCTTAACATAGCAAGGACAGGTTACAGGTCTGGATCTGTTCCTCTCCTCTTGCCTTTAAGCTAAACTTATGGGGGTTGGTTCCTGCCTTCTAGGAAACCAATCTTAAGCAATCTCTTTTCAGCCTATTACTGCAGTAAGTTTTAAATTATTGACCAATATCTTATCTTTGGTCATCTTCAGCTTTGGTGACCTGAATATGTGGGAGTGCTTAAAATTCTTCATGGATGCAAGGAGTAAGTGCAGATGCAGATAGTGACAGGAGGGTATGGATGTGCCTGTAATGCACACAGCCCCTATGGGATGATGAGGGAATGGGATAGGATGTGCACCCCAGGTACTGAAACACCAAGGTCAGGGAGTTGGTTGAGTGCTGGGGGAATTCAGTGGGAAGGAGGAGAGTGGAGGATGCAGAGTGTTCTGGTGTTCACCATACTCTAGGCTGCTTCAGGGATTAAAGTGTTTAAATCTCTGGTAACACTGAGCTTCTCCTTTCATTCTCAAAGCAGGTACTGATGTCAGGACTACCCAAAATTCCTCTTACTGAAATCTGGGGGACAGGGTGGCTGCTCAGGGTGCTTTATCAGGCTCTTAGCAGATTCAGTCACCCTAGCTGCATCCATTACTCTTCACAGCTTTAAAGAGTTTTCTTTATCATCAATCATAAAATTTAACCTTCCTTTTAAATTTCTCCTTGAAATCAGGAGAAAAGCACAAAGAACAATCCTGGAACACACTTTTATCATGCAATAGCATATTACTATCCAAACAAAGAATAAATTATATATCTTGTAAACAAACTGGAGAAAATTGAAGGAGAAAATAGCTATTATTTCAGCTAATTTTAACTATTTGTAATCATGGTGAGAACAGTTTGTTTTTTTTTTTTTTCCCCCCCTATTGCTCTTTATTGGTCGTTTGAACTTACTGATTTCATTCCAGATAATTGGCTACTAAGTGGGAGTGATGGGTAGTCTGTATCACTTGTCCTGTGCTGGTGTGGGTGGTGGCTCGGCATGGAGATCTTTACGTGGTAAAGCAGAAGCAGCTTAGCTTTAGCCAGGCTGTTGTACTATCAGAGTCATTAATACCTCATGAGAGTCATGTTATGTTATAGAGCACCAAATTGTACAGATCTGTAGTTGCAACTAATGATGTACTTACATCATGGCTTCTCTGAGCCGAAAAGTATCAGTCTGTCAATCATTCAAGCATTGTATAAAAGCATTTCAAAGTGTTCAGAGTCTTTTAGGGAGGTTTCTGCATCTCCCAGCACACAGTGAAATTGTGCAGTGTACTCTGGCAGCTTTGCATTATTCCTTTGAAAACATTTATTCTTATCTGAAGCATTGTTCTAGAGCCAAATTTTGGATGTAGTGGGGGTTTTTTATTTTTTTAACCCAGATTAATTGTTTTCATATGGAACTCTTAATGTTGGATTTAAAACTCAGTGTTAGCCTGTAACTAATTTTTTTTCTTTTAATACTGGATCAAATCTGGTTTTTGACTGCCTAAAAAATATTGTCATTAACCTACATAAATTCAGTAATAAATTACTGAAATGTTTGAGCTAATTAGAAATATTTCTAAGTCTAGTATAGAACTGACAAAATTGCACTTTTGCTGGAGGAAAGTGTTGTTGCTAGGTGAAAAACAATCTGCTTGAAATAATTATTTAAAATGGGAGGTCTTTGATTTAGCAACTGATTAGCAATATGCTGGTCTACTGGACGTCTTTCTGATGTAGTAGAAGAGAAACACATATATTCTGAAGTCAGTGTTCCATCTGTATGGGACTTATTTAGCAAGTAAGAATGTTAATTTAGTGTATACTGGCTAAGATAACTAGTTGTCTGGGGGGTCAAGGTACTGACTTCAGAGGCATTTCTGAACAAAGATGTTGCAGTTGGTGGGTGGATGGCACTAGTCTCAGCTGTTGTATGAGCTTGCATAAATAGTATCATCTCCACTTTAATCTTTCGGGTGTTCAGAGGTAGTGTGCATATTTCTGTTTAACCCCTGGACACTTGCTGGCATGCATGACCCTTTAACAATTCCTATCCCTCTGTCCATCCCTGGCACCTTGGCTCCAAACAGTCTGGGAGGATAGCCAGTAATTTTGAAGTTTTTTGTTAAGAACATGTGTTTAACAAAGTGTTTTCGGTTCAGTGGTATACAGTTCCTATTGTGCTTGTTGCAGTGGAGTATGTCATGCTTCTGAAGTACTGCTTGCACCTCCACTGTACAATATTTACTCCCCTTTGTGTGTAATGATCACTTAAAAATATTAAAACTGGTGATAATGGTCACTGGACTTTAGCATCAGGAAAAAAAGCTTTTTTTCTTATTTCAAAAAACAGCAACAAAGGCCTGGAGGAGTGTTTCATAATGGAAAGTTAGCTTTTAAGTTGTGTTTTAGAATAAGCATTTGTTTTACCTTACCTTTAAATTTTGACAATGAAAAAGATATTTAAATCTCAGTCTTCATGGATCTGTCTCTTTGAAATTAACATGCCTTTTCTGACCAATATTCCTATTAGTTCAGAGACTTTATTCTAATAGGGTAGTTTTAAAGATTATTTCTGAGGCTTGTGGATGTGCTTTGGAGGGAAGTATTCAAAAGCTTTCAAGCATCAGAGCTTTCTGAATATTGCTCTGCTTTTTTTTTAGTGGGGGGAGAGGGAAAAGATTTAGTAGACAGTGTATCGCAGGTGTTGGTTTTGATTAGCTTTTATCACTTTCAGTGGTATAAATTTAATTACTAAATACCAACGTGGTAAGTGTAGCAAATGCAAAGAAGGGCCAAAGCAGACTTCAGAGTGACCTGAACTATAAGATCAATAGAATTAAGTGGAAACAATCTTCCCTGAAACTAGTACCTGTAAAGCGGAGAGAAAGTAAACAGCAAGTCTGGGAAATGGATTGCAGTAAGTTTATTTCCATTTTGTAGTGATGATAGCATGGGTGCTAGCTTTTATATTGCTCAAATACTTGAATTTCTTTTGTAAGGATGGGGTCTTGATGATTGCAGAGGTTGTTCACCCAAGGATCTATACTCCTGACTTGTTCTAGTTTGTGTTAGAAGAAACTAAAGTAATGGTCATAGAAATATACTAATAACTAATGGATAATGTAGGTGGTGTTACGTTATTGGACATCTTTTAGTTATATTATTCCCCTTTTTTTTTTTATAGCAAACTTTGGCCTGTTCCATTTTAACGGCGTTGTTGAGCGAGTTCTCAAGTTCAAGTAAAACCAGCAACATTGGACTAAGCATGGAGTTCCATGGTAACTGTAAACGTATATTTCAGGTAAACTAGTTCTGTATCAATATATGCTACATGTTTTTCTAAAATTTAAACATTAAGAAGCAGAAATACTTTCATGTGCCAGGTGCATTCAGGTACAGTGTGTGCCTGTCAGCATTTAATAGGACAAATGTTATATTATAAATGCAAACTGGCTACTTCAGGGAGGTTGATTATCTATTTTTTAAAAACTTGTATCAAAAAGCTGCAATCCATTTTTGCAGTTTGTGAACGTAGAGCTACAGATCTTTATGTGGTTGGACTCTTTAATTCCTTGGCTACCAATTGCAAACAAAACGAATACTCTGTGGAACAATGATAGTCTTAAATATAGATTTGGTTTAAAGCCAAGGAGAGCTATGTATTTAAAAATATTATTGCAGATGGTGTAGTCTGGTTGTCTCAAATGTATTGTTTGGCCAGGCAGAAATGTTTTTGTGAAGGCATTGCTTTAAACTGACTGTTATGGAACAGCTTACCAACTTTTTTTCATGCCAAAGACCAACCTTCTCTTCCACCAGTTGTTAAAAAACTGTTGTTAAGTTTTTCTCTTAATGCATTTATAAGGTTTTTTCTTTCATGTTCTTTACAAACACAAACTTAATTTTGGTGAAAGGGAGTGGATTATAAAAAACTTCAGAATATTTTCTGTATTTCAATGAAAAATAGGGTGAAAATAGAAAATTATTTCATCTTTAGAGAAGTATTTCTTTTTAAGCAACATTTTAATTAATGGCCAATAGACTCTATTAATGTATTGTGTTGGTCCTGACTGTAGGAGGACGACCTGCGGCAGATCTTCATGCTCACAGTAGAGGTGCTTCAGGAATTCAGCAGACGTGAAAACCTCAATGCTCAGATGTCTTCAGTGTTTCAGCGTTATCTTGCACTAGCCAATCAGGTCTTAAGCTGGAACTTCCTTCCTCCAAATTATATCCTTTTAATGTTAGACCCTTTAATTCAACTGATTTAGGTCACGCTTACCAGGCGATAAGTAAAGTCTTTGAGGAGAGGAAAACGTATGACATATAAGTTTTATATTTAGTCCTTGATTTATTCTTCCAGTAGTGCTCTCGGTCACCCCTGTGCTTGCTAATAGACGCTTACATACAGAAGCTGCTGTTGCTCTTCATTACAGTTATTATATTAAAGTATTTAATATAAAAGGCAAAACTAGTTCAGCAGAGCAGCCCTCAGTTACAGGCTGATGGTCTGTTTTATTGGTGCAGGGGAGAGGAAAAACGTCATATGCTGCTTTAGTGCAGAACTAATGGTGAAGAGATCTAAGCTGTGTTTGAATTTTTATGCGGAGATCTGATCTGTCTGAGACCTCACCTGGAGTATTGTGTCCAGTTCTTGGCTCCCCATGTCAAGAGAGACAGAGATTTACTTAAGAGAGTCCAGCGAAGGGCTGTGAAGATGGCTGGGGGACTAGAATGCCTGCCGTGTGAGGAGAGGCTGAGAGACCTGGGGCTTTTTAGTCTGGAGAAGACTAAGGGGACGATCTAATTCGTGTGTATAAATATATGAGGGCTGAGTGTCAAGAAGAAAGGGGCAACCTGTTTTCACTTGTACCCTGTTGGACGAGGGGCAATGGATACAAGCTGGAGCACAGGAAGTTCCACTTCAACGTGAGGAAGAACTTCTTTCCTGTAAGGGTTTCAGAGCACTGGAACAGGCTCCCCAGGGAGGTTGTGGAGTCTCCTTCCATGGTGAATTTTAAGACCCATCTGGATGTGTTCCTGTGTGACCTGCCCTAGACTAGATGGTCCTGCTCTGGCAGGGGGGTTGCATTCAATCTCCAGAGGTCCCTTCCAACCCCTAACGTTCTGTGATTCTGTCCTACTCTTCTCTCTCAGAGGAGGGGGCAGGTAAATGCCTCATCTAGGGCTGCATGCTCAACTGACTCCCCCTAAAAGATGATGGTAATATACTAAAATGTGTAATAGGGTCTCTTTGATCTGAAGAGGTTATCTTGCACTTTGCTAGCTGAGAGGAGAAATGGCATCTCCTTGTTACACAGGTGCCATTTTGACATCTTTGATGTGTGCTGGCTATGAAAGTCCAGAGAAAAGTGGAGATGGAAAGTAGAGAAGGAAATGAGAATCGGAAAGAGAGTTAAGGAGAGACGAAAAAAACTACAAAAATACTCAACCCAAAAAGTGGGCTAGAAGAATATTGCAGAAATGATCAGTCACATTCTCTATTTGATAGAGGGTTAAGACAGCACTTGCAGTAAAACATTTCAACACCTCCTTAATAGCTAGATCTTTAAGATGCTCAGTAAACTTTTCAAGAGCCAATTTTTTAAACTGGTTTATAAACTTGTTTTCTTAAAACCTTTTGAAATTGCTGCCAAGTTACACAAACTACACAAATGTTGATGTTGCCTTTGAATCCACTCTCAAGGATTTTATTTACTTTCCTGGTTTGATGGTCAGAAGGCAACCTGTGTGTTTCTGCTGTCCTTGATTCTGTTCATTATGCAATGGGTAGCAAAAGTGAAATTTCTTTGAAACTGAATATTGCTTGGTTCACATCCGTAAAGCAGAATAGCAGTTATATTGCCTTTATGTACGAGTGCCGTGGATTAAAAGTAAATATCCCACTCCTATTAACTTCACTGAAGTAATTTGGCAGGGATCCAGAGAGGAATTTAGTGCATGTGCCTGCAAGACTGAGATTGAAGTAAACTTCTTGCATCTTATAAAAGTTTTTGGATGAGGATTTGGGTTCTGTAAGAATTTAAATGTATGAACACTTTTTATTTTCCTGGATCTGTAATCTTAAAAAGAAAGTAATTATTCTTGTTGTACAGTGGTGGTTCCCTCTGAATTTTAGTCTTGCTCTGTGCAAATCTATGATATAGTCCTAAATACTGGTCTTGTAACAGTTTTAAAGTGAAGGTTCTAGTTCTTCATGAGCTTTCTTAGGCTAAGACTTGCAGTGGTGGAGCTAGATATAAAAGGAAGATGTGGAACCTAGGGAGTTCAGCTTTCATTTATACCTCTATATAATATGAAGTGATTTGGTCTATAGGTGCTAGTAAATAAACATTAATTGAGATAGCTAAGCAAGCCATACTGCTGCTTAAGGTTAATAATGTTTTCTGCTATTTGACCTACTTTAGATATGCAGCTGTTAAACAAATTGTGGCCACTTATGGAGGTTGGATGGACCAATCCTTCTGTCCGAACCACTGTCAGTGTTCTTACATGGCTCTGTTTCAAATCTTTTTATAACTTCTGCTCCACTTGATACTGTCCTTGTGTTTTTCTCTATTGGAGATTTCATTTTGCTGTAAGAATTACAGTATTAGCTTGGGTGTCCTGCCTCTGTGTAGCAAAGTAGAAGTTGTACACAAATTGGGGTGGATTTAATCATCTTTGAGCAATTAGAGTCTCAGATGAGGAAGATTCAATAATTCGGAGTTTACAACACCATGTTGATTGTATTGTGGTATAAATCTCTTCCTTAAGGAAACTGGTTTAAAACTAACTGTGGATTGTAAGCTCATGGGCAGAGAAATTTAACTTGACTCAAGTTTCTAAATAGATAGCACATAACATAAGAACTTAAGAATCACTGTGTTGATTGATCCTTTGGTATCCTTTTGGTGTATCCTGTTTTCAGATCTTGGCAGTACATATGCCAAAGCAATGGGCATAAATTTAAAACTTGAAGTGCAGAGTAAAATGATCCATTGTATGCACAGATACATCTTTTTTCCTTTAGTTGGTATTTCCCCTGGCAAGATAATATTGATTCTCGGTATTCCCTGCAGTGTAACAGTAATTTGCAGTATTTGTATATAATCTTTATCAAGATTCTTTCATCTCAAAAAAAAAAGGAAGTGGCATAAATGTGCATTAACTCTACAGTGACCATCACCAGATTGTGAGAATAGCATCAAAACTTATCACTTCTCAAGAGTTCTTGTACTGTTATAGGGTAACTTGGCATGTTTTGTATTGCTAAATGCAGTCTTGGACAATGCTACCACCAATTTTAGCTGGAGATTTGTAGCAAGTCTGTATTGTTTATTGCTAGCATGAAAGATACATTCTAGAATAGCTACCTCATTGGAGTAACAAAAGAAGAGAGGCTGAGACCTACATACTTTCAAGTTGGAACTCATTATTTTTCAAGTATCTTGGGATGTAGTGCCTGCAATAGAAGGGTAGGTCATGATGACCTTTGGTCATGTTCAGTTTCTTCCACTTCATTTTCTAGCACACAGGCAATCATGTGTTGTTATTTTTGTCTGCTACCTCAAGGTGTCAGTTCACCTGGTGATTCCAGATACTTTGGAGGTTTTTGGCAGTACTGTTGGAAATGGCAGTAATGTAGGATTTCTATTTCTCACCAGGAATGTATGGTAGTCTGTTGTAGCATGTTGGCTTCTGTAGTTTCTTTTTTCAGTGATGTTACATCACTGTAAAAAATTGCTTACTCAGATGAAAACCAGTTTTAACTGCATCTTTTCTTAAATTAATATTTTGACAAATTAAGGAAGTGCAAGTAATCAGTACTAAGAGGTACATCCTTCTCTTTTTACCAGAGTGTCTTTCTTCAAGGATCTCAAGCCTAGCACACTGTGAGTGTCCAAAGTCTCCAGTTAAGGAACTGCTACTGGCTTTAATTCACCTGGACATGGACATTTATGTCCTGTGGAGTCAGGATGTATAATATATACTTATATATAAAATATATATCCAAATATATAATTTATATTCTTTTGCCTCCAGAGATGTTTCTTGTTCTTCTTGACTTTGGGATTTATCTGTTCTTGGCAGCTACATTCTTATGGATTTTGGATTAATGTCCTCAAATGCAAAAGTTCCTAAACAGAACATAAGATTTTTGACCATGTTTTCCATCCATAAAAAGGAGTGTATTATGTGTCATTAGGAGCTGTTACAGGGGAGTAGGTTTAGACTAGGTCTTAGGGAGAAGTTCTTCAGTATGAGGGTGGTGAAACTCTGGAACAGGTTGCCCAGAGAGGTTGTGGATACCCACTCCCCGGAGGTTTTTAAGGCCAGGTTGGATGAGGCCTTGAGCAACCTAGTCTAGGGGCGTTGGATTAGATGATCTCTAGGGTACCTTCCAACCTGAGCCATTCTATAGAACTACTTATCCTTTATTAATTAACATATGGATTATAGTATGTGAAAAAGAGGAACTTGAGCTTTAGTTCTTGTTTTGGACTTGGTGCCTCTACTTGCTTGGAGGCAAGCTGGCAAACTTTCAATTGCATGTGGAATAGGGGATTTGATTTAAAATACAAGTTATGTAAACCTCATGGGAGTCACTCCCCTAATGTGCATTGATGCTGTTCCATTGAAATTAATGGTGCAATGGCAATTGTATGAACTGTCTGAAGCTTATCAGATCTGAACGCACTTTTTTAAAGTGGTGTGTTCCTCAGCCACACAGTTAAAGGAACAGAGCTCTCCATATCTCATGTTTTGAAAATGTCTTTTAAACCTCAAGCCAGAATGGGACACCTTTCTGGGAGATCCTGTGAGAACCATATAGTTCTGCAGACTTTCAAGTTTTGAGCTTGGTCCAACCCAGATTGGTAGCATCTGTTATGCTGTTAATGGGAGTGCACCAAAGGCACATAGAATGCTGGAGAAAACTTGAGGGTTTTTTGAGCAATGATTCAAGCTGGCACTGCTGAAAAAGCATTCTGCTCTACCACCTCTCATGAGCGTAATACTGAGCAGGCAACCACCTAGCTGAAAACTTTTTTTTTTAACAAGCTGAAGTCCCCGGTTTGATTTGTTGCAATACAACAGTCTGTCTTTATCTGGAAAGATAAAGGATTGGGGTATTATGCTGGCTATTGTTTGGGATATAAAGAAAAATTCAATGTAAGTGAAGTAGCTGTTTTTAAGAAAGAGCAAAAGAGAGCTGCATTTTACTTTTGTCACTTACCAGTCCTAGGTGAAAACTATCCAGAACTTGAAATCCCTGGTGTTTAGAAATTGTCTTAGGTACTCTGTCTTTTCTTGACCATCCTTTCTAGCAACTTTTTAATACCAAATTGGGCAAAGCCAAGAAGATTGACAAATACCCTGAATTTGGTCATAATTGCATGAAATATGTTTGTATTGATACAGAACTTTTTAACAGTGTTTCATAATTTGTGTCGTCTTGAACAAATTCTGAATTCAGCTTGCAGTGTAAGAGCACCTTAAAGCATTGATAGCAGAAGAGGAAAAAGATCAATAATGAACCTTTTTATGAAGGGGAACTGATAAAATGTGTATGTTTTTCCTCTTCTGCTCTCTTGCCCCAGTGGTTTTAAGTTTCCAGTTTTGCAGTGATTTGTCATCAGCTTCCTAGATGGCAGCCAGTATGTAATAGGAGGGGGTGACTCTTGAGCTGCATCTGCACGGCAGTCACCTCTGCCTCGGTGCTTTGAGTGTAAGCTACGCTTAAAGAGATGAGCTGGCGTACTGCTAGTACCTGTGTAACCATAGGAGCAAAACGTAGCAGGAGCTGCAAAATCCACCTGGGTGGTCAACGTGAGACTCTGTACTGGCATGCAATTCCAGAATTGGCTAGTTTTAAATTAGCCTGGGTCTTCCTACACTTCCTATGCCTGTTGCTGCAGTGGGGGTCCAGTGTCTCCAACACAAAGGAGTTGTTTCTTTCTCCTGACAGTTAGGAATACTTGTGTTTAAATATTTAAGCATACATTCCTTCTCGTTTTTGCTGCATATGTTTGGAGTGTAAGCTTTATGAAGGTCTGTGAAGCGTTTCTCCATAGGGGGCAGCAAGCCTCTGTATCGGTTTTAGGCAGTCGCTCCTGGACTCATCACATGTGCTTGGCTGACTACCTAGCATGCCAGAGGAGTCTTAAAAATCCAAATAAAATCACTGTTACCATTATAACAGCAGATGGCACATTTCCAAACAGTTACCTTTGTAATGCAGGTTTTTTATTTGTAAAACATGTCTGAGACTGACACAAAGTTTTCCAGAAATGTTCCAAACAACAAAAGTGAGGTGATAAAAATAACTTTTAAGAAAATTATTTGGGCCTTAGCGCACTCCAGGAATTTCCCCTCCACTTCTGAGTTGTTCTTCACTCCTGTGGACAAATTTGTGAATGGGGGACTGACAGAAGAAATGTCAGCTTTGATATTTGAGTTCCTAATTTACTACTTTGTAGAAGGGCAAGCATTGCCTCTCTTAGGAAAAAGACTGTGAAGTCCATTCTCAGGTACTGGAATTTGTGGGAAGTCCTGAAGTGAAGCATTACAATCACATGTGGCTGCCTTAGGATATGAAATGTTTCGATATTCAGCATCACCCCTCAATCTCTTCCTGGGACAGAGGCAGAGTGGGAGGAAAACTAGACATTTGTTTGTCTTTTTTATTTTTAATATGTTCTTTCTTGTCATTTAAAGTGAACTGTAATGAGAGTTAGTTATTCTTCAGTAAAATTGGGAAGCTACAAACACATGTATTTATTACCAGAAGTGGTTTACAGTTTGTTTTGGGTTTTTTTTTTTTTTCATTTTAAAAAAACCCAAACAAACAAACCCCCAAACCTTCCCGGATGCCACAACAGACTGATCTGCACTTATCATAAGTCTGTTACAGCTTGAGTGCTTCGGAAAAAAGTGTGATAGTTCAGTACTTTTTGTTTCCTTGTAAATATTGAGAAGTAAATTAATTTTTGGTAATAAGACAGCATTTGTCCTGCATACACCCGTGTAGTAGGTAACTTTGTGCCTTTTTTTTTTCTCGTTTAGTATAACTGAACTGCTGCTAATAAGGCAAAACCACAGCACAGAATAAGTTGAGGTGTTTCATGGCAGCAAGCATCTCCACAGCCAACTGGTACTAAAGTTTGCACAGATCTAGTATGTGATGGTAAATGAGTGTAAGATCTCCATGATATGTGCAGACATAATTTGTATTGTTTAGTGCAGATATTTTGCCCACAAATCTGCTGTTGTCAGATGTGTCATCAGTCCATTAGCGTCAGAAACATTACTAAAAATAACAGGATAGGGCTGCTAAATACTGAGGCTTGTTAAAATAGTGACAGCAAACTAGCCCTTCTTTCGTTCCGTGTGAGAAATCCTGTGTAGCTGGTCCCCTCTTTAGACTCAACCTAGTGAAGACCAAATGGATTTTCAGAGATTCAGAATGTATTTATGATCATCTTCTGATATTGATGTATTTCCAAGCCTGTTGTGTATTGGAGAGGTTATGGCAAAGGATGCTCTTGTCAATAAACAATTGTAAAATACTATTTCCTCTAAAACATTCAAATGAAGAGGAAAAAGCAAAGCTTAATTTGCCTGATAAAATTAGGTTTTATTTGCAGTATTACTCCTGATGAAGGATGCTTGCATGTGATAATTCGTTTTTATATTTCTTTCATCTAGGAGAACTGAAGCATTTTTGGTCACTTAAATGACCTCTCTAATTCAGATGGAAATAAAATACACAATTCAGTGATTTTTTTTGTTTATTTTTTTCCCACCTGAAATAATGCAGATCTAGTATGGTTCAACACACATTGATAATTTTAAAAATGGTGAAACTGGTTTTGATTTGCACTAATGTGAAAATCCCTGATTGTTCTTATGCATTATAATGTGCTGACAACAGTTCTGGACACATACCACCAGTGAAGGTCCACTTGGTACTGTGCTGTGGAAAAAAAATGCTGTTTCTGGAATGTGCTTCTGCACAGTGTCATTAGGAATTTCTGTTTTTGGCAGAACTCGGAAGACAAGTGTAAATAAACTAAAATTGTGCATTCTGCCTTGTGCCACAATTCTTCCTGTTAAGCTGGATGTTTGCTTTATAGGTTGTTCGCTTAAAACCCATCGGATGATAAGGGCTCTGTTTTCTTGAATGATACTGTTGTGAAACCTGTTTTCTTCTAGACATATAAATACTTTTTGATACATGTTTTATATAATACCTGATGACTTACAGTACCGAAGTTAGTATAGTTCATTACTAGCAAGCAAATTACATGCAGCTGAGCATGCTGTTACTTATTCTGATGGTTGTGTTAGAAAGGGATCAGAGAGGATAATGAAGTATTTAAAACAGGGAAGTGAAGATGAGCCTTACTGAGTTAAAGCAGTTTTACTACTGCTTGGATTGGGGAGTGTCACAGGAGGAAGCACTTTCAAAAATCTTCAATAAACACTTTTTTGTGTGATCAGACTGCCAAAGAATGTAACCTGCTTGTTTGAATGTTTTTGCATGTCTGTTTATTCTGTACTAGAACATTTAGAGTCGTGTAAATTAAGTTGTGCCAAAACACATGGTGAGAACTCATTAATGCAGCAAGATCGTGGCTTCACGGTGTTCAAGATGTGCCTCTTACAAACTTGTGTTTAGTGTGATGATGCCTTGTGGTGCCTTATGCTTTTGTTCTTCACAGTGTGATTTAAAAACGTAGATTAATGCAGAGCTAACATATCTGCATTCTGTGATGCATATTTGGCTATTTAGAAAAATGGGATACAGATTTCAATGAGCTATCTTTAGCTATCATAAGGCCTTTTTGCAAGCTGCCAGGAAAATTTTTTAGAAAATGATTTCCTCTTTTGCATAAATTTTAACACCTGTTAATTGCGGTTGCTTTTTTCCCTTCTCGCTGTGTCACATTAGACACCCTGGTTATCAAAGTGATCGTATCACTATGGTATGTCTCATAATTATGATCAAACTGTTATCTAACATTCCTGGAGCATTCTTTTTTTCAATACTTAATACCTTTTATTCCTTGGCCTCATGCATGAATTATGCTGTGTATGTGAAGAGGCTTAAAGTTTGTTTCCATTACATTCTTTCTGAATGGATCCTGTTGTATCTAGGATTTTTTTAAAGCCAAGTAGGAATGTTATTGTTGACCTTGACACCAGATAACTGGGCAGACATTATATAGCTATGTTTGAATCCTCACAAAATGTGATGCTAAAGCCAACAGAATCCTGGCGTGAGACCCTCCTGGACAGCAGAGTAATGGAACTTTTCTTTACAGTAAGTTTCTTTCTTCAACTTTCATAGTCCAGACCGCAGGGAAAGCAGCTCCTTCCTGTTCTAAAACTGTTTTGTTGGACTCTTCTTTTTGCATCAGGTAGGAATGATTCTGTTAACTTCAGCTTGCTTATCAAAGCAAACAGAACTATTGTATTTTTTCTAGGTTACCAAATATGTATTTTGCCTATAAATTGCTTTAACTTGATGGGCATAAACAAAAGAAAAAGGTGTATTGCTATCTAAACTTTTATAGATTTAATATTTCTGGACATGTGCTCATCAAACGGAACCAAGCATGATGAGCAGTCCTAGAGTATATCTTTCAGATAAGGTGTAACGGCTCTCAAAAAAGATCAAATGAACAGTATATGTTTGCTGATCTTAAAGCATTTGCTCAACAGAACAGCTGAAAATAAGTAATGTAGTTGCAGTTTTCTAGACAGTTTTAGCATACGGAATTCTGCATCTCTTTCTTTAGCACAAAGTAAATCCGAGCAAGTGAAAACAGATTAACTTAGAAGGCATAGGAAAAAGGTAGAGTTGGGAGAGGAGAATGTAATATTCGATTTCTCAGACTTAAAAACCCCATGATGTTAAAATTGGGTAGAAATAGTATCATTTTCGTCTGTAACCGTCTGTAACTGTTTGTAGTCACTTGCAGTCATTGCTTGACTAGGAGTTACAGCATCAGTAACATGTTAGCTTATAAATCCATTTATTATGCTATTTTATCTTGTTACATGTCTTGGGAACTGAGAGTTCAGCAGTCTCAGGGGGGTTCTCATTTTTTGCAAAGCAGAAGAATAACGTGCTCAAAACTTGGACAAAGCTGTTATTAGATAACATAAATGTAACTCTCCCGTGCTGCCTGGAAGTTGTCTGATACGTGCTTGGATACATGTCCTTATTTTGTAGGAATTTTTGGTAAATTATCTTTATTTTTTTTTTAACTGCAAGCTTATCTGTTCCAGCAGTTTTGAAAAGGTGAAAATATCACTGGCAGAACTCATAGCAGCTACACACAATCTGAACAGCTGTCTAGACTATCCAGACAGTTGCTACTGTCAGCTGTGAACCTCCACATGCAAATAACTTTCTGGCTTACATATTAACCCATTCTTTTTTAACAGTATGAGGTTGTCCGATATCTGTTTCCTTGCTTAGTTTACAATTGCTTATTCATAAGATTAATGTTTTGAATAACATACAAAATTGTTTTAATACGTTTGCATTTTACTTAAGAGTTACCAGAGCTTGCCTGTGTATGATTATTTTTGAAATGATGCTTGCCAGTTGTTGGGTGGTGCTATCAGTTTTGGGTTTAGATTCCTGATTTGCAATGCTTAAGGCTTGTAGTATGAGTTTGCTGCTTGAAGTAGTGTAAGTGAATGGCAGCAATTTATATTCATTTATCTGATCTGAGAAATTTTAATAACCTTGCAAAAATTGGCAGGACTGCCACATTAAAGAGTGAGCCTTCAGTTCTAATCTCAGCTGAGTGGGATGTATATTAGGAGGGGTATTTCTGTTGCAGCGTTTGTTTCTCCTGCTAGTTTGATCTCGCAAAGATTAACTGTGCAGCTAATCCAGGTAGTTATGAGTTGGGTGAAGTTGCAACTCTAATGCTACAGAGAAATGGTTAGTGTTTTTACTGTACTTTTATGTCTAATGTTACTGAAATAATATAACTGTTTGGTTCTGGGTCAAAAAGCTACTCAATTTGGTAAATCTTACATGAAAAAACAGGAGGCATGAGCCTAAGAAAATTATCTGAATCCATAACTGACAATTGCAATAAGTATGTGAGAATATGATTAGTGAAATGTTAAGATTTGAATCTAGGAGGTGTCACCAGCAGAAGTAATGACATAACAGTTCACAGAAATGCGGTAAGGTTACTGTTGGCCTTGTATAATGTAAGGGTGTTGCCAAGGAAGTGATGCATTAATTTTTGTGTATGTCTTCAGTGTATACCTCTGCTAAAGAAGCATCTGTATAATCTTGATTGAACTTGTTGACTAACTTTAGCAAGACTCTGTAGCCTAGGCATAGTTAGCATAATAGAGATGACTGTCATTATTGCTGTTTTTAGAAGGAGCAGTATGTCTGACTGGCTGGCATCTGTTTCTCTCTTTAAGACATAACATTCAGTAGACAGTTCAATTTTCAACATGTAGGTGAGACTTAAATGTTAGCTTTAAGTGACTTAATTGAAGGCTTGTGATTTTTGTAAGCTGAGTCATGATCTTGATGTTTTACTGTGGTTTAGAGAGCTGTAGAGACCCTTACATTTCAGAGTGAATGGGAGTTATAGTAAGCTTTTTTTGGTGTGTGCTCTTTTGGGTTGAGAGCCATGTGACTGTTGTAAAAACTCTCTATTTTCCATGTATTATTAACTATCCCACTTCCTGAAAGGTACATCGAAAAATCAGAGAAGACACAGATATGGCCCAAGATTCATTGCAGTGTCTGGCACAGCTGGCATCTTTGCATGGGCCAGTCTTTCCTGATGAAGGTTCACAAGTTGATTACCTGGCACACTTCATTGAGGGATTACTGAATACTATCAATGGGTATGTATGCCTGCTTTCTAAATTTAGATGGCAACTTTTAATCTTTAGTTTGGAGTGCAGTGTATCCATGTACCAGTTCTCACTGCTCTGGCTTGCTTTTTTTCTCGGTATGATTTGTGCTTACTGCTGGATTACTGAAATTAAGAAAAAGCAGTTTAAAGTAGCTGGTGTTTAATATGAAATAGATTTATTGATTGAAAATGTATCAACAAAAGCAATTAACTTTTAACATTTTTTTTCAATGTTGAAAAATTAACTTCTATTTCTATCTATAGAATTGAAATAGAAGACTCTGAAGCAGTGGGAATTTCCAGTATTATCAGCAACCTGATAACTGTATTTCCTCGCAATATTTTAACTGCCATTCCAAATGAACTTTTCTCTTCATTTGTGAACTGCCTCGCACATCTCACCTGTTCCTTTGGAAGGAGTGCTGCCTTGGAAGAAGTGGTAAGTATCTTCACTCAAATAGTAGGTAGTCTTTTTTTTGTTTCTCTCTGTGATAAGTGACATGAGGATTTGGCTGCTTTATTAATAACTACTGTGAATTCAATGGTTTTGTTCTAGATATTCCTAAAATCACATCTGGGAGGATTTTGTTTTTGCTTCAAACAAAATAAGTAACATAATTACATGCTGTGTACATCTTCCAGACTTTGATTTGATTTAAAGCACTTGTCACATATTTTTGTTTTAAAAAGAATGGGTTCATTTAAAAATACTAAAGTCTTTAAATATTGCTGACCTGCTCCTGTAGGGTAACTTTGAAAAATCTTGTAGATAAACTTTCAAGACCATAGCTTGTTCATTAAAATGACTTACGTGAACATATGGACAGACTCAAGCTGAACTGCTGTCAAGAGTTTGAGTCGGGAACTTCAGTTTTAAGTTAAGATCTGTTGTTAACCACATACTTCTAAGCTGTTCAGATCATCCCTTCATAGTTGACACGGTTCAAGTGGTTGTTCTGTGTACAAATCTAGCACAGGAATTCGTAGGATTTTTGTTTGTGTTCAAACTTTGTATGTAACATTAAAGAGCAGCTGGGATAGTCATAAGTATTCTTCTAAAAAGTGCATAAAAATAATTTCTAAGGAGACCTAGTTTAGGGATAGAAGCCTGTAAGAGTTAAGGTGAATGATTTTACACTTGAACTATTTATGTGCAGTAGCTATTGGTTTAAACTGAGACTCGTGAAAATACTGGCTAGTATCTTCAATTATCATTAAAAAGTATGAGTTTTTACCAGTTTTGGTATATTGACTGGGCTTAATTTTACCTGAGTTTGGAAAGAATTAATGGAATATTCACTTAAAGTTGAGGGGCATGTTTCTTTGCCAGAGATCACAGGGATCTTATTGATGTTCATAAATATCTAAAGGTCAGGAGGATGGGGCCAGACACTTTTCAGTAGTCCCCAGTGATAGAACAAAGGCCAGTGGACACTAACTGGAACACAGGAACTTCCACATAAACATAAGGAGAAACTTCTTTCCTGTGAGGGTGATGGAGCACTGGAACAGGCTGCCTGGAGAGGTTGTGGAGCCTCCTTCTCTACAAACTTTCAAAACCCACTGGGACATGATCCTGTGCAACATGTTTTAAATGAACCTGCTTTGCAAGGGGGGTTGGACTAGATGATGTCCAGTGGTCCCTTCCAAATCCTACCATTCTGTTCTTCTGTGTTAATTAGCATTCATTGCAGAGCATTAGATCATGTCTTTGCTGCAAGGTTAAAATGTGCCACATTTGGCCCATCACTCACTTAAACTTTCAAGTGTGTGCATTTGGTGATTAAATTTAGATTCTAAAATACAGTTACTTTGCAAACCTTATTGGCCAAAACTTGCCCTGCTTTTGAGATTTTGTAGTAGAACATTGAACATAACTTCTGGTGCTCACCAACACATTTAGGAATGCCTTTGAAGCCTTTATAGATTCATCAAAGCCATAAGAATACATAATCTAAAGGGACTAAAAAAATGTTGTTTCTTCAGTTAGCCTCTTGTTACTTGAGAGCTAGAGTATGCAACCATGTTTAATGAAAACAGTGCTCAATATAATGCCATTCAAAACACTTCATCTCTCAGGAAAAATTTACAGTTGCTTGTACCACTGTCTGGTTCAAAGCTTGTTTTGGAAATGACTGGCTAATTATGCCTGGTAAGCTGTGGCTGCCTACACTTATCTGATCCAGTGGTTTTTGCTGAAGAAAGTTGTTCCAGTATTAAACATCAATGTTCTCAGATTCAGCAGCATCAGAAGGAGAGAATGCTTGCTTTTGTTTGTTTTAAGAGGGAATTTTATTACTTTTGTTGAATCTTTAAATCATTCTGTGGTAGAAGGAATATTACAGTATCATTCCCTCCATTGTGTCACAACTCTTACAGATATCTCAACTTCGTGCTGTTTCTCTGGTTTCATAGAATCCTTTAGGTTGAAAGAGACCTTTAAGATCATCAAGTCCAACCATTAAGCCAACACTAAGTCCTCTGCTAAAACAGAATCAGAATCTGTCAGGGCTGGAAGGGACCACAAGGATCACCCAGTTCCAACCCCCCTGACATGAGCAGGGACACTTCCCACTAGATCAGGCTGTCTAGAGCCTCATCCAGCCTGGCCTGAAAGACCCCCAGGGATGGGGCCTCAACCACCTCCCTGGGCAACCCATTCCAGGGTCTCACTGCTCTCATGGTGAAGAACTTCTTCCTCACATCCAGCCTGAATCTGCCCACTTCCAGCTTTGCCCCATTTCCCCTAGTCCTGTCACTACCTGACATCCTAAAAAGTCTCTCCCCAGCTTTCTTGTAGGCCTCCTTAAGATACTGGGAGGCCATAATAAGGTCACGTTGGGGCCTTCTCCAGACTGAACAGCAATTTCTGGGATGATGGACCTTCAGAAAAATTCTTATACCTGAACAGTGTCAGCAATAAGGCATGCTGCTGAGACTGCTGCATTATTGCTGATTAATCCAGATGGCATAATGATACTGAGTGCTGTGCCTATAGAAATATTAAACTTCATCCCTGGAAACAATCTTTTGGCCTGGGAAAGTCCCAGCCATGGTCAATGTGTCCCCAAGTTTCTCTCTTAGACTGCTCATAGGGTCATCTTTTGTGAGCTCATGTGCTGTAATTAAGAGCTTCTGATAGATAAGACTGTGCATTGGGCTCCACAGAGTCCTCGGATAATATTCTTGGAACTTTTCAGAACTCTGAGATGCAACAGAACACAGGCAGGCATATTCCTTAGGCTTTGGTGGTTGGAAAAGCTGGTTTTTCCCTATTTCTGCTGCTTCATATGCCAAGGGAGCATCCCGTGTGAATGCTGCAGAAACCTCATCAGGCACAAGGTTTACTACTTAGCTGAAGACCTTTTATGGAAACTGTCAGAACTAGAAGGTCCTGAACTGTAATATGGAAACCAGTTCAAAGCAGCTAATACTGATTTTCAGCCAAGGTGGAACCCCCCACAATCACGATCGAATGCTGGTTTTACATTAACCTGCCTGTTGCATTAGGGGACATTGGCTGAAGGAAGCCAAAACATTTGCCTGAACTGGTGGAGAGCAGTAAACTTCAGTAATAGCACTGGGTCTGAGGAATAGAGGCTTGTTCACAGCTGTGCTTTGCCATGCTCAACACTTAGTGCTTATGCAGAAGCAGAAATCATACAGTCTATCTGAATTAGTGGAGAGTGTGAACAGGAAGTTGGATGAAAAGTCAAATAGAAATTATGCCAAAGGCTTCTGTGTCTCAAAATGAATTTTTAATGTGCCGTTCCTGTTTGTTGAATTTTTTTTTTTTTTTTAATATGTGATGAGAGAGACAATTCTGAATTTGGTCCTCTCTGCTGTGCTTTCAACTCTTTCCACATTGTTGCTGCTTGATGGTTTCTAAGTTTATTCTTCCTTTAGAGGGTCAGCAGGCTGTGAGGGACAAAGTACCAGTTTTTATTTCCCACACTAGAGAAATTAAGCATCTTTACTTTGACTTGAGTAATTCTGTCTTGCCTCTCAGGAAGATCTGAGTTCTGAACTGGCCTCTGCCATTGCTTTTGTTGGTTATATCAGAACAATTCAGTTCCCTAGTCTACAGCATGTCACTTAGTTTAACTGTGATATCTTTGGTGGCTAATCTGAAATAAAGATAGGGAGTTTTTAGTAAGGTACCTGTGTGACCAAATTTGTTCAATATGGATAAACTTTCTAATTTTTGAATTATATATGTATATTTGGATTATGTTTTTTGGATTTGGATATTTTTTGGTTATATTTTTTCTATATTTATGGAGGCACTTATTAATCCTAGCTTTCTTATGAGAATATCATAAAGTGTTAAAAACATGGATTTTTTTCTGTGGCATTAACTTCTGTATTACTTTCTCAAATAATTTGATAGATTTGAGTTCTTTGGTTCATGAAAAGATATGTCTGTTAGTTTATTCTATAGAGTCTTACAAATTATTAAGTTATATGTAATTTATACATGTAAATATATTACACACATCAAAATGTTTCAATATTCAATGACTGTCTATGAATTTCTGTCCTTTAGCCAAGTTTTAAAAAGACACATGGTCTCCATCCTAAATTTCTGGCTTATGTTACTGTTGAATACAATTTTACCTCTCCTTGTCATCTTCAGCTTTCATTTTCACACTTTTGTCAGTGTCTGGTATTTATCTTCTGTAAGTATGACCATTTTGCAGTTATAACATGATGCTGTGAAGCTATCCTGAAATGATTCCAGTATATCATTTTTCCCTCTTAATCAGTCTTCCAGCCAGTGTTTTCTTTTCCTTGCCTGTTCATCCAGCCAAGTTTGTAACTTCATTGAAAGACTGGAATTCTTCTGTCTGGAGCATAATTAAGACTGTAATATCTCTTTATTTCATCAAGGAATCATTTTACTAGGGCCTGCTATCTTTAAGTAACTTTTGTGAGCGATCCTGTGGGTTAAAACTTGAAGACTTCTCAAACAAAGAAATGTCCTGCTTTAGCAGCATGTTCATCTGTGCAGTCATACTTGAGTTATTTGAGGTTGCATATATAATTCAACCAAAGTTGAATTTTTGCATCAAATCAAAAAGTTGATAGGTACATTAAAAATACTTTCAAAAAGAAATGTGTTCTCTGCCATTTGGGTTCTGTAGTTTGCCTGTAACCCAGGACTTCGTTTTTCAGAAATGTTATTTCCTTTTGCATCTTGTGTACTACATAGAAACATGTATGAATAACTAAAACCATGAAGCATCTGTTAAAATGCACTAAATAACTGGAGATGCAGGCTTGTTCTGCAGAATTCCACTTTCTTGGTCTGTTTGTTCATAGAATGAGTAGTTGTGTATCATGAAAACTGGCTACCTGGTTTCTTGAACACATGCAGCCTTACAATGATTTTGTCTGGAACAGAGAATTGTCATCTTTTCTTTCTCTTTATTTCAGAAATAGTGGAATACGTGTAACTCAGTATACATATGTTCTATACTTGTCTCTTTGATTACAAAGAAATGGGTAAATTCTTTGTTGTTACTAATAAGAGCTGAGATGCTTGGCATCTTTGGGGTAAAAGCTCATTAGCATTAATATTTAGGTAATTATGCATTAGAGGCTTTATTTGACTGTTTTAATTTTGAACATCAGACAAAGAGAAATAGCTAAATATTTTGACAGTATTTTAAAGCTTAGTAAGCATGAAAGCTGCACTGACTTTTTCAATCTGTCGCTTCAGTTTGTTCTAGTATTTTCGTGGCTATCCTTGGGGTTTTTGACTGATTCTTTTTAATTGTTTCAACATTAGAAGATCATCTGTTAAATAATGAAGATATGATCCTCTGGTTTAGGAATAAGATTTTTTGATTTGTTTCTTTCATCTACAGCTTGACAAAGATGACATGGTATATATGGAGGCATATGATAAGTTGCTGGAATCTTGGCTTACTTTGGTACAAGATGACAAACATTTCCATAAAGGTTTCTTTACCCAACATGCTGTTCAGGTCTTTAATTCCTACATTCAGTGCCATCTAGCTGCTCCTGATGGTACAAGGAATTTGGTAAGCCCTTCTTTTAGTAGCTCTTGATGATAATATGTAGTAACTAGACTGTGTCTTAAGGTGTGTATGATATTGTGTAGCTCAAGGGAGCTAGTATAGAATTGCTGTTGTGACTTTAGAAATTAAATTTGTTGAATTGGTTATTTACTGGTCATTTTCCAGTTTCTCTCATTCTGAAGGAGGAAATAAAGTGATTTCCAACTTTGTATTCCTTTAAAAAAAAAAATTATAAAAAAGTAAACCTGTTACTCAAATCAACATGCATCTTACTGTCCTTCCCACAGATTCAGTGATTAAACTTTTGACCATCCTTCTCTGAAAAAGGGTTCTTTTTAAAATCCCCAATGAAACTGGAAGCCTTTTAAGTGGTTGCTGCTTCCCATACGCTATCTCCAAAGTGTACTTTTGAAGTATAATTGATATACATAAATATCTGAAAAAAATGTAGAAAAACAATGCTCAGACTAGAAGAAATTTGCGGTGTTATATGGTTCTTTTGGTTAAAATTAATTCCCAATTGATTTTTTGAGGTGACTGTCCTAGAGAAAACCTAGAAGTACCTCAAGTATCTCTTGAACCATTGAGAAAGCAAGCAGATGAGTCTCTTTGCCAGGAGTGTGGATCTTGCTTAAACAGATTCTCATATAGAAAGTTGGACATAGATGTTGGATTAATTAATTATAAATTCAATAACTGTATAAAATGTCTCTTATTGCTGTGCAAAGATCTCCAAGATACCTCACTCTGAAAAGCACCATATAAAATTTAATTCTGCTATCTCCATATGTAACAGATGGTAACAACAATGCCAAAACAGAGAGAAATATTTCACAAGAGAAATTTGAATTCGTATCAGGCAGTCTTGACATAACTCATATACACAGGTTAATTCATGTCATTCTGTGAGTTAAGTCATTTATCCCACGGGTAACCTTTTAAAAGCCACAGCTGGCATTTTAGAATGCTTCTTGTACAATATCAAAGCAGTAAGAGGAACTTTCAGTCTCAGCGTTGAGAGCAGAGGCTCATCCTTCAGTAAACAGCTGCAACTTTGAAGTTGCCAAAAGAGAATGATTTGCTGGGTTACATAAAGACAAGATGGGCTAAAATCACTTTGGATAAGGAGTTTTTGTGGGTTCAGTTTTCCAGAACCTTTATAGAAACAAAGCAGACTGATACCTTTGTCTGTCACTTGTATTTTAGTTGTGCAAATTTTATGCTCTTTAAGAAATTTTAAAAAACTGTAACATCTGTACTTAGTTTTTATGTATCATGGTTCAGCTCTTCAAGGATTAAGGTCTGATTCTTATTTAAGTAGTTTTATAATGCAGCCAAGATGAGCTTTGAGAAATCATACAGTGCAACTTCTGCAACAGCAAAAAATAAAACTGAGATGATGGTCATAATTAGTCTTCTGTTTTCCTGATGTTATAGCATTTACTTGTTGAAGCTGGGTTTTTTTTTCCTCTAACAGTGGGTTATGGAAAATCTTTTATGAAAGAGATGTTTTTCGTAGCATCATGAAAAATACTACCAATTTTGTGACTTAAGAACCCAGGCAACCGAAACTATTCATATTGCCTAATGCATAGGGAAAGCATAGAAGTTGCTGTATTTAAAATGTTTCTTCATCTGCTGTGTATGTGATTTCAAATGCAAATCTAGTTCAACAATTTTCTGACCACTGGGTTCGCAGACCATCTGTGAGCCAAAGTCATTCAGTACGTTATATTATACTTCTAGCAGTGGATACTCCATAGAGTTGATTAATATACCTTGTATTGTAAAGAAGCTGTTTTGCTATTGTCCAACCTGGGCTTATCCTATTATCATTAAGTATCAGTTTTTCTAACTCTTACCCTTGACTTTTTTTCATAAACAAACAGTGAATCTTTTGACCTGAGAGAACTGGTGTAAATGTAAATATATAATTAACTGAATGTGACATTTTGTTAATGAGTCTGTGAAATGATGATTTTGAAACCATTTTCAGCCATGTTTACTCGTGTTTAGTCTGTCTAACTTAGTACAAGTCTTGTTCATGCAAAATGCCTTGGAAGATAAAATAGCCAAAATAATGTAGGAAATTGTTGTGATTATAAAATTTGATAAGTATAAAACTGATTGTTTCTCATTTTGTTGAAATAACCAAAGACTGCCAATGGTGTGGCCTCTCGGGAAGAAGAAGAAATAAGTGAACTGCAGGAAGATGACAGAGACCAGTTCTGTGACCAGTTGGCCAGTGTAGGCATGCTGGGGAGAATTGCTGCAGAGCACTGCATACCTCTTCTTACAAGGTACAAAGTAGTAGTAATGGATGCAGATCAATAAAGCTATCACATATGAAAAGCTTGACTTTGCCAAAACAATTTAAAACAGTGAAGTTATTTCATTATTTGTCTGCAGCTTATTAGAGGACCGAGTGACAAGGCTCCATGGTCAGTTACAAAGACATCAGCAGCAATTACTTGCCTCACCAGCATCAGGCTCAATTGACAATAAAGTGCTTGATGACTTGTATGAGGATATTCATTGGCTTATTTTAGTCACAGGTAAGTGAGCAGCTCTGAATAATACTTATTCTGGTATTCCTATTGCAGCTAGAACAGCTTGGAAAAAACAAACAAACAAACAACTGTATATTAATATGCTTAACTGACGATAAATTTTATCCCTTATCCATTCTTACATATACTACACACAAAGTCTTTGTTTTACTTTGGTCTGCCTTAAGTAACATGAATGATATCTTTAAAAGATAGGTGAAATCTTTACATGAGGTAATGCCCTCTGGATATTCCCACAACTAATTTTGTTATAGATTTTTCAAGATGTGTTGTCAGTCAACCTATTCAAGAAACTAATCTGTTTATGGTATCAGTTGTATTGTCCAAGGGTATGTGACTTTATAAGAGAATCAACATGAGATCAGGATAATATTGCTCTGGTGGCAAAGAACAAGTAAGTTCTAGAATCTCTCAGTGCTGATGATCCATGTCCTGTCATTTTGTTATGTTTCAGGGAATTTGAGTTTAGATCCTTTTTTGCTTTGATTTTTAGATGGAACTGTGTTATATATGTTTCCATAACATAATAGCAACTAAGACAGTGTCTGTACTTTGTTAGAAGAATTGTATAATTCACAAAATATTCCATGGCATCTTTCTGAACATCTGATATGTTAGTCACTATCAGATGTGAACACAAATGTGTTTATAATATCTGTGTGACTGTGGAATGGAGGTTGTATTTGTAGCTCACAGATGGTTATGAGATGAGACACTGAAAACTAGGACTAAAGCTGGATTGAATAGTAATTATCTAAACACCAGTGTATTGTATAAAAACCCGTGCTTCACCTGATCTGCAGTTGATATGCAAGGAAGACTATTACAGCACTTGTATTTGATGTCTGAAAGCCTCTGACAGATTTGAAATGTTAGAGCAGAAGTCCCAAATGAGATAGACTCGGTGGGGAAGCTGTAAAATCAAGGCTTTTTTCATCACATAGCGTAAGAACTAAAAGTGACAACAAAATGTTTGGGTTCCCCCTGCTCCCCCCAATAGCTGAATTGACTGTAGTAATTTTACATGAAGGAAAGCTTATATCTTTTTTTCTATTTTATTTTGGTGGTTTCTTTTCTAGTCTTGGTTTCTTGACACTTTGGATTCTTCCCCACTGAATGGCTCTAAGGATTCTAAAGTTAAGTTATATGTATTTAAACAGTGTTAGTCAGGGTTTGTGCAATCATTTGGTTCTGGTGTTATGTCTGCAATTAAACCAATGGATTCTCTAATCAAAAAGCCATAAGTCAACCTAGGGTAGAAAGTTGTGATCACTCTCTCTTTTTTTAATGTAAGGCTACCTCTTGGCTAATGATACTCAGGGAGAGACTCCGCTAATACCTCCAGAAGTAATGGAATATTCCATTAAACATTCAGCTGAGGTTGACATTAATACAACGCTTCAGATTCTGGGATCTCCAGGAGAAAAGGCCTCTTCCATTCCAGGGTACAACAGAACTGATTCTGTAATTAGGTAAGGATCCATCTCATGCTATTAAGTGTGTTAAATGGTTTTTTTTCAGAGGGAAAAAAAAAAAGAGAATGTGAGTGAACTTCTGTGAATTTCGAAAGTAAAAATGCAATAGGTAAACACTTCACATTGGAAAAGTAATTTTAGTTTTAACCTAGTATTAAGGTAAGGGGAAATAATTTATAAGAATAGTTTTATAACAGACATATTAAGGCAATGATGTAAAAGAGATTAAGACAGAAAAGATGGAACCTATCTTTGACCTGTCATTACAGAAATTCCTAAAATTGTTTAAAGTACTTAAAAAGTCAGCAGATCAGAATCTGTATATTATATACTCTATAATTCATTCAGCACATGTACAGCTTAAGCAAATGCTTTCCTGAACATCAGTGGGCTTGTCTACTTTGAACGTGAGTTACTGCCTAAGTTTGGCAGTAGCAGCAAAATTCATCCTCATTACAGGAGGAATTGTTGTCACTTATGTACACCTATCACTATTGGCCTGTAAAGGGAGCAGGAGAGGGAATTTCTGTTCTCCCTTTCCAAGAAGGCTAATGCCCACAAAGGACACCTGAATTTGGATCCTCACACTTCAGAAGATTACATTCTACTTTTAGTTGACATGGAGGAGTCTTCACCCAAGATTAGTTGTGTACTTAATGTGTTTTTCTTGAGGAAGAGTGTAGAAAAAATGGGTCTTCATTACCAATGATGAGACTAATGTTTAGAAGTTTGAATACTGTTCAGTGATACTGTTGGCAGCTTCAACAAGTGGCTATCAAACAGGATTTCTTGATGGAATGTGTTTGTGGTGATGGGAATAAAATCAGTTCTAAATAAGGAGAGATTTCAGGCTCTCTATCAATAGCTCTGAAACATCTCCAACAAATCGACCACTGTCAACTCCTAAATTCCATGTGTACTATCACATTCTTACCAAATTTAATTTATACACTACAAAAGCTAATACTATTGTAATTTTACAGACTGAGTATATTAATGCAATCACCTGGCGATCTGCTTTTTCAGGCTGTTTCTCTCTAATGGGTCATTTCTGTATTCTTTAGTATGCATCACATTGCAAAATCTGCACAGTTAGGATCCACTTGGTCTCTAAGCTTGGTGCAAGGAAGGGAGAATCAGTTTTTTTTAAAAAAAACCTTTTCAGTTGCTCCAAGTTGTAGTCCACTTGTCTTTGTTCCCCTGATGTCAGAATGCTTATTAAGATTCTTTGTTGCAGTAATTTTGTTCTTCTAATGCATATTCTGACTTTTCGGAGGGTATTTGCCAGTCTGTGCTATCTCTCTCTCCTTGCATTTAAGGAAACAATAAATTCAGGTGCTTTTTACTTGGTTAGAGTTGAACTACTTTGTGTTATCCTGTTCCTTCTGTCATATTTAATGAAAAATTAAATGTTTGGTAGCTGCATTGCTTCTCAAAAAACCCACTCTCAGTATCACTGTCATATTTTGAATCTACAGGTTGTTATCTGCTATTTTAAGAGTGTCAGAAGTAGAGTCCAGAGCAATAAGGGCAAATCTCACACACCTCCTGAGCCCTCAGATGGGCAAAGATATTGTCTGGTTCCTCAAGCGCTGGGCAAAGACTTACCTCCTAGTAGACGAAAAGCTGTATGATCAGGTAAGGATATAACTTCTGTGAATTAATTGGTGAGTATTAGAACTAATATTATCCTGTGGACGCAGGTGTCAGTGTAGCTATTTTAAAGTGCAATGTTAAAACATTTTTAATGTTAAATGGGTTGTGGTTTATTTGGGAATTTTTTTGAAAATTGATGTTTCCTAAATTTTTTTTAATTAGAAATATAAGTTGTTGGGGGAACCTTCTTGCACATTTTGGTGCAAATGTAATTTAGAAAAAAAAATGAGTTTGGTAGCCATTGCCATAGCAGAATAGTTTATCACGCTCTCAGGCTGCAAGTAGGTGAAAGTCAGTGACTACAGCAGTTTCATAAACTATTTCTCACTATGCATCAGATCTTAGTTCATCTCTAATACATTGTTTGCCCATGATGGATGATTCAGTGAGTAACCTAGTCATGATTCTGAATTAAATATTTAACACCATCACAAGGTAGTGTACATTAGCTAATGTCACGCTACTTTGTCTCCTCTCCTCGTTCTCATTGTATACATCATGATTTTAATGGTGTGTTCTTTGTAAAGGGCAACTTCTTACCCTGTTTGGGAAGCACTAATCATGATTAGACCTTGATCCTGATTTTGCTTATTGAACTAACTGTAATCTAGCTAGCTGATGAGGGCCACTTATCCTGAGGAGGTCTAGTTGACTCTAACTTTTGAGTTAGAGTCCTGCCCTCTATTTCCACTGTTGAAGCAACTAAGAATGCTAACACTTCAGGAGGCAACTCCTTAACAAAAATATGTATACTGTAGACTTGTAAATCTTTGGAATCATACTATTCAGTTTGTACTTGCAGCAGAGCTAAGAATTTATAAAGCTATTAGTTGGGGCTGAATTGGAGAGCATGTAAGTTGGAGGTCCACGTGAGAAGCGATGTGAAGAAACAGTATATAGGAATTCATGTGTCAACACAAACTAAACATGTGCAAGTGATTGAAACCTCTATTTAAACCTTATGCTCAGTCATGTATGTCATGAATTTCAAAGTTAGAAATGTTAGTGGTGTGCTGACAGGAAGCCCCTGTACAATTATTACAAAATCCTTGTATTTCATTCTTGAGAAACTTTTTTTTTTTTTTTTTTTAAAAAGACAGGAGAACAGGCAATTTCAAGAAAGTGTATTATAATGTACCAGGACCAGAATGTAACATATTTCCTAAAAGATGTATAGATTGAAGGAACCAGCAGAAAGCAGATGCAGAAAATTGTGATGAAAATAAGTTTTTTACAAGGCTGAATCTAAATCAACAGCTAGGTTTACTTCTAGTACTTTTTATCTCTGAATTTTGAGGAATTCCATTGTAAATTCATGGAAGCACTTTTGGGAGATGATTTGGGGATCTTTTGGACTTTCATTGGTGTTAAAATTAGACATACTCAAACCTGAATTTGTAATGAGATTGAAACTTCTTTGTTTTAGGTGTTGTGCTTTAAATTGCAAGATAATTTTGGCAAAGATTTTTCCATTACAGATACTCTCTGCCTTTGTCTATGTACCATTTGTGTATTTTAAGTAGGGAAGAAGTGACAGCCTGAAAAGAATTTGCTGAGAATGATTACCATACACTTTGGGGTTCTGGCTTCTGTAAAACTCACTCATTTTAATGCTTTTCTTATAGATAAGTCTGCCATTTAGTACAGCATTTGGTGCTGATACAGAGGGTTCCCAGTGGATTGTGGGTTACCTTTTAGAAAAAGTGATCAGTAACCTGGCAGTATGGAGTTCAGAGCAGGACCTTGCAAATGATACTGTACAACTGCTAGTAACATTAGTGGAAAGGAGAGAGCGGTAAGTTGCTATACCTCTGGAAGTCAAAAATTTCTTTTGCTTCCTTTAAATTTTTTTGGCCAAAGTAATCCAGATATAGGGCACTTCATATTCATGTCTCTGTAAGTCAAATTACTTCAATAAAATATTCTAAGTGAAGATAAAATTTTCTGACAAAGTGAGGAGAGAGACCTATATTCAACAAAACAGCCTGGTTTTTGTTCTTGTTTAGAAGTGCACTCTCCTTCCCTTACCTTTGTGCCTCACTCTTAAACACTGAGAAAGGAAAACTCTCCTGGTCTCCACCTTTGTAAGGATTTTTGTGGTGGTGTTTTTGTTGAACAAGTTCTTCTGGATTAACAGTTCAGATACTGGCTAAGCCAGTATAAAATGTGTTTCATAAACATATTTTAAAAGTTTAAAAATGCAGGATTTGGCAGATTCAGATAAATGTCAGTTTTCTTTGGTATTACATACTGTGAAATGGGAAATTCTTGAATATTCTGCTTTTGTGAATGGATATGCAGTTATACATGCAATCACACATTCACAGTCTGCTGAAAGACAGACTTTCTGGAGTTTGAGGATTTAAATGCTTGAGGAATCTTCTTTTTTAAAAAAGAATTAAACCCCACAGAAGCTAGTTTTGGAATAAACTGCTTGTTTTATCATGGCATAATGAGACTAAGCATTTAATCCGTGCAATATGTCCATTAACTCTGTGTATGTGTATAAAACTAAAGCACTTCCCTGCTTTTCTTCCATATAAATTGAGCTATTTTCAGAGTGTATATTTTAGAAATCTTAGAGGTGAAGCATTAACAAGATTAAAGTCAAACGGCAATTTAGCCTTAGAGTAGAGGAATTTAAAATAATCTTCTGACAATTGCTAGCAACCTGATGTGCTCTGTTCATACAATTTCATGAAGTCTTTAAACTGTTCTTTCCTCTTTTAGGGCAAACTTAGTGATTCAGTGTGAAAACTGGTGGAATTTAGCTAAACAATTTGCAAGGCGAAGCCCTCCTCTTCACTATTTGTCCAGTTCTGTACAGAGAACACTAATGAAAGCTTTAGTTTTAGGAGGTTTTGCTCATATGGATACAGAAACAAAACAACAATACTGGACAGAGGTAAGCTCTTTTGATGCTTCTGTTACTTTTCTGTTACAAAGTAGTACAAACAAGTTAGTTTAGGGAATTTTATGGTGCCCCAGAATCAACTTGTATGGAGTCTTTTGAATGTTTGAATACTGATAATGTTTAAAATTATTCTCTCTTTGAAGGACATTAGTTGCATGGCACCTGTCAGCTGCCAAAAATTCTATCTAAAACATCACAACCTAAACAGAAACAACTAATAATTAACTGGGGGAATTCATGAAGCAGCCACTGTGGCAGTATGATTGAAAGAGACTATTATAAGATGTTAAGAATTTTCCTTGGAACTGTGTAATTTGTTCCTTTTAATTTGATGGTGTTATGAATTATTCAGTTATTCACTTAATAATAATGACAGTAAATAAAAAGCTCATGTGGAACATAACGAAGAGCTGTGACGAGCTTTTAACTCAGATACTTAATACTAGAAAGACTGGTGGTAGGAAGTAGATGAAATATGATCAGGAAGCACTGCATGAGTTTGTAAAGTATTTGCCTTCTGATAGAAACTTGCTTTTATAAACAAAGCTACAAAATTAGTGATTGAGGGTAAGATTATCCTATGCTGAAAGTAACTGCGAAAAACATTTAACTATTTTTATGGAAGTTTCTAAATTGGTTCCAAACACAGCTGATTACAAAAGAAATTCTCAGTACTGCAATTCTAGTATGACAAAAACAATTGTGAACATAAATCTTAGTTAATGCTTTCACTGATGAGCTGTAACATGTTTTTTTGGGGGTTTTTTTGTTTTTTTCCCCTTGTGCTGAATTGGGAAGATAATAAAATACTGTGAGCCAGAGAAAGTCATTGTCATTTGTTTAAAAACTACAAAATAACAAAATCTCTAAGGAGGTGCCAATTTTGAAACCAGCTTGCAGGTGTTGGTGGATAACAAGAGTCACCAATCACTTTAGCTTACGTTAATGTGACAGATAATAACATAATTGAGCTGTTTAAACTAGAAGTGATTGATTATTGTACTGCTGTGCCAAAAGCAACCCATGAGCTTGCTAAATTTCTTAAACCCCATATCTCATATAATACTGCGCTTATCTTAATGTGACTTCTAAAAAAATTTCAAGGTTCTTCAGCCACTTCAGCAGCGATTCTTGAATGTGATAAACCAAGAAAACTTCCAGCAGATCTGTCAGGAGGAGGAAGTGAAACAAGAAATCACTGCTACATTAGAAGCACTCTGTGGCATCGCTGAGGCTACCCAGATTGATAACGTAGCAATTCTCTTCAATTTTCTAATGGACTTCCTTAATAATTGCATTGGATTAATGGAAGTATACAAAAACACACCAGAGACTGTTAATCTCATAATAGAAGTCTTTGTTGAAGTTGCACATAAACAAATTTGCTATCTTGGAGAGGTAAATACAACCAGAAGGGGAAGTGGGTGTGGGGGTGTGCGTGTGTATGTATGTATACAGTGCTATTTCTTAAAAATCACTACACTTTATTTTTTTTAGATTCTATAGAGAAAGAAATGCTATATGATCACATCTGTTAGAGAAGTGCCTGTGTTTGAAGACAAACACTTACAAAGACTAAAAGCAGGACATCTACACTGTTCTTACACCAATAAATTTAACCACAGTTCATCACTACTATAACTCTGTGCATGGGTGGTAAAGGAGTGCAAATGCTGTTGAAAACTTTTAACTGTATCAAGCTTCCCTGAAAGCTAGTCTAGGAAAATTGCAGCACTCTTACGTGACAGATGTATACCACAGAGACACTGTCTTGATCCTAAACACAGCGTTAACAGATAGCAAGAAGTAATGGGTAAAATGAGTCAATGCAGGACACTTACATCTTTGCAATGTTGGCTGATTTTGCTTTTGCATCTAGAAGAGTTTCTGCCTATTCCAAACTGGGTATGCACAAACTGTATATTGTGGCTCCAAACTTCAGTAGCTGAAGTGAGTTCCCATGGAATTTTGCTGGTAGTCTAATTTGTGAGATTAGTGAGATGTGTCAGCCTGTCCCAAGCCAGTCTTGTCTTTTTTTTTTTCCTTAAGACTGAGGAATTGATAAAAATAGTGTTCTGCTGTTTCAATCAGCAGCACATCAGTATATGGCTGTAAGCATTATTAAGATGGCAGTTTCCTTGATGATTTTGTGTGTAGTTGTTACAAAAAGTGGTATGCAACTTATATTAAAATCTTGAGGTATCATCAAGTAATGCCATAAAACAAGGTGTGTCTCTTTTAGCACATGGAAGTTTTCTTATTATCTGACATTGTTTTATAGGCCAAAGCCATGAACTTGTATGAGGCCTGCCTAACTCTGCTGCAGGTGTATTCCAAGAATAATCTAGGTCGTCAACGGATAGATGTTACAGCAGAAGAAGACCAGTACCAAGATCTCCTCCTCATTATGGAGCTTCTCACTAATCTTCTATCAAAAGAGTTCATAGATTTCAGTGATACAGGTATGAAGGAGTTCATAATCGATGAACTATAACTGGTGATTTAAACTGGGAAAAACATTGTGGGGCATGAGTTTGATCCAGGTAAAGTGAAAACTGAAGTTTACGCTTTGTTAGATAAGGAGATGGAAATTATGATTTCATGTACCAGTAGCAAAGGAAGGACTTTTCACAGTATTCTAAGATAAGAAATTATTAATGCTCTGGTAAAATAATAGAGCATATATGAACAGCTTGAAGTCAAAATGTTGTAAGTCTGCATATGTAGTAGCAGCAGTTTTATAACAAAAAGACCATAAAGAAGTTGGAATAGTAAATTACCATAAGTAGGGAGATGAATTATCTTCTTAGTACAAGATCGAACTTTTGTGAAATGCTCATCTCCTTAAAATTCCATCACATTCAAGGATTTTCCATACTCGTAATTCACAGAACATGCTTTATGGTTTGTGGATGTAGTTAAGGGTTCCCATCCTGTTACTTTTGCTACTTAAAATTGCAGTAGTCCTGAATATGATCTGTCAGTTCTAGCTTAGCCGTGCTGCGTTGCTTTTGATTAAGCTGAGACACATTTGCATGATTCAGATCTTACCATGTCCTATGCAGTTTGCACAGAAAACATGCTCAGTAACAAACTGAAGTTGCTTTAATGTTGCTTGCTGCTTTTTTGGGGTACATCTTGAAAGAGAGAACCTTGCAATCCAAAATTCAGTGCACCAGTCTTGTTTTTGTCATGCAAGCACAACACAAGCACAGAATCAGACTGAGACTTTGTCCATTGAACGGACAACTTCATGCCATGTAATGTATTCTCTTTGAGGTCAGACACTGGCTGTTAGTTGCATGGAAAACACTGTAAAATACTTACCATAAAACTAAGGAATGTGATTACTACTTAAATATAATGCCCAGAGGTCAAATGTATTGAAAGTTTTCTGCATACTGTTGCTGACTCAGTACACAAAATACAAAAGTGAAGTCACTGACAGTTGATGGAAAATACAGGTCTTATCTGTAAGTGGAGAGAACTTGGCAATGTTTAGATTACAAAATTTTGTGCACCTTCCCATTTTTTTTTCTCCTTGTGCTTATAAAATATATATAAACATGCAAATACATAAATTTTTATACTATATTTATTATGTGTGCAGGCATGAAGAAGCTGTCACTAGAAACAAATGCAGTGTTCTGTAATAGAAGGAAGCCACCAGAGTATCTGAAGTGCTCTGTTTTAGCAAGCTGTCTGGTACATGTGGTTCTGAAAAACTTAATCCTAAGGAATATAAATATAGAGTGACGTGGCAGCCTCCACTCTAAGTTTCTATTTTAATACACTGCCTCATGGTTTTGTTCGGAGAGAAGGAAATAGTACTATTTTTAAAAAAAGTTTATTATAAAGAAATAGGTCTCTTCTTTCAGTATTTTTAATCCTCCTTTTATACGAAACATTTTTTCGTCTTTTGCTCTACAGATGAAGTGTTTAGGGGACATGAGCCTGGGCAAGCTACAAGTAGATCTGTATCGGCAGCAGATGTTGTCTTATATGGGGTTAATCTAGTTCTGCCTCTAATGTCCCAGGATCTGCTGAAGGTAAGTATTTTTTTACACTGCTAGAGTGTGAAAGCTTTATAGTAATGACTTCCCAGAATTAGTTCCTATATGCGTTCCTCCTCTGTAAGTTGAGTTTTCTAGGCTTTTAAATATGTAAATAACTGTTCCATAGTTCTAGATACTGTTTGAAACAAAATATTGTAAGCTAAGAAAATGTGTATTTGAAAGGACTAACAACTTTTTTCTTCTAAAAGTGAGTTCCTGTGGGTCAACAATTAGCCAAATCTGAAATGTGCCTTGTAAAATCCTTTTTCTGAGGGCGTTAGAAACGTGAACAGTAATATTGGGGTTGTGGATGGAAATTGGGGAGCAAATAGTAATGCTTTAATTGTTTTCACAATACAGCTGGCTTTCATATCATAAGCATCAGTAGCTTTGTCAGTAGAGCAGTGAAATATGGAACAATGAACAGCAGTATTTCATTGGCTTGCACTGTGTTAATGTTTTACTTTGAATCAGGGGAACACTTCTGAAGGGTATCTCGGCTCACTGTCCCCTCTTAACGTGCTTTCTCACCTGGTGGCACTGGTTGAGCGTGAGAGCTCTGTCTGGTTTAGATGAAACTGAATCAAAAGGTGTACCTTAGGAGCCAAATGGTTGTGCTCCACATGCTTGTGAGGCTTTTGCCCCACAGGACTAGACTAACTCAGATGTGAAGTAAAAAAACTTGAATTTGTGCAGAGCAGACACCAGACTTCCACAGTCAGCTTTACATCGTATCAGCTTTAGTACTTTTTTTTTTTTTTATTGTACCACACAGTTTGCTAATAAAGCTGTAGCTATCCTAATGACTGAAGCTGTCTACTAAAATAGTCTTTTCTCTTTCAGTTGAAAGCATCAGTCCTGTCTCTTTGTACAGATGAAAATTATGTCAGAATAAAGTTATGTGATTGACTCTAAAATGACCGTGTTTTTCTTTTGACAGTTTCCATCCCTGTGTAATCAATATTACAAATTAATCACTTTCATCTGTGAGATATTCCCTGAGAAAATTCCACAACTTCCAGAGGACCTCTTTAAGAGCCTAATGTACTCGCTGGAGTTAGGGATGTCATCGTATCCTTTATAGAGCCTGGAAGTGTTTAAAAACCTGATTTTATAAGGACCTGTTAAAAATCTGGGGTGGTTTTTTTTTGCATTTTTTTCTCTTCTATCAATATCTGTATCTATAATTATATATCAGTAATTGACTCTTTCTGCTCTCTGAGAGTTTCACTGTAGTGTCTGTTGAGATTCTAGCATTAGCTGACCCGCCTCTGACTGGTGTTTCTTGAATGCAGCCTTTAAGTGGTTTAGCATGTAAGTTTTTTCTGGCAGCCATTCCTGCCTCCTCCATTACTTCATTTCAGAGTGTGTAACTTCATAAGCCTTCAGCTGGTATCCCAAAGCCATTCCTGAATTAGTTTCTCAGCTGGTGATACAAAACATTGCTGCTGTTCTACTGGGCTGGCTGCAGAGCATTTCCTGTCAGGGTGCCAATGGGCTCTCCCTCTCCTCATGGGAGTACCATTTTCACTAATCTGTGGCACGTGTCAGAAACAGATGAGCTTGACCATAAGGGACTCTTTCTGAAAACGTTATGTCGGAGAGGGTTATGTTACCTTAGAGCATGTAGCTAATAAAACAAGACAACAAAGTTGGAATTCTTCTCTTCCCTTTTTCTATTTTTATAATTTATTCTTTTATTAACAGCTTTATAGTAAAAACAAGTATTGGAACATAAAAACATTTAAAATATTTTCTAGTGGTACAGCTGGGAAGCTTTACGACAGTTTAATTGAGATCTGACTTTGATTCTTTAATGCCTGCTATCAGAATGAGTTCAGAGGTGTGCCAGCTTTGTCTGGAGGCTGTAACGCCATTAGCAGAACAGTGTGCAAAAGCACAAGAAACAGATTCAACCCTTTTTCTAGCAACAAGGCACTTTCTTAAGGTAAGGAAGGCGTCTGCATTTCGTGTTACTTTGCTTTTATGCATACAGGTGGTGTCAAGAGGCCAAACAGTGATCATATCTGATGGAGTTCATTGGCAAATTTAGCAAAGTAAATTTTAGTTTACTGTGAAAGCTATGAAATAGAAAGCTTCCAGAACTGTGTGAACTGGAGGCTGGATAAAGTACCTTTTTTTCTGCCTCTTGTTTTAGTATAGTTGGGAACTGGAAAGAAAACACTGTCACTTATTCAATGTATCCATTGAATTATGTGTTTTGTTAATCCAGTCTCATATTTAGTACTTTCCTTTTAGGACCATTCACTCATTGAATTTTGGAGTGACCTGGTAGGAACCAGGCTCATGCGAACTGAGAAAAATTGTGAAATTGTAATTGTGGAATTTGTGTGCTTGTCTTCTGATTTTTCTAAAGACTTCAGTTTTCCTTAAGACATCTTATCTTACCAAACTGACATTCAAGCTTCTGGGGATTGCTAATTAAAAGCATACACCAGTCAAGCTCAGAGAATGCAAACCAACTTAAATAATTTTATTTGTATTTATATTTCTTCTAAGTTAACATAGCTTTCTGCCTTTTCTCTAAATTTTCACTTAAAATTATAATACCATATCTGTTACCTGTTTGGCTTTCTGTGAGCTGTAGGAGTCCCTAAAACTTGAGGAAAAAGTTCCCTGTTTTGTTCTGGAAGAGCAAAGGCTTTTTTTCACTTCTCTAGCATATCTGCAAACATTTGGAGAAAAAATAAGAGATGCCATTTCTTTCTCAAGAATGCATAAATCAGCAACAGATTTTGATGCTTTGAGGTGTGAATTTGTGCTGTTAAGCCAAGAGCCAGCTTCTAAAAGAAGCTGGCTTTCCAATTACAGATACCTAAATTTAAAAAAAGCAACAAAACAACCTTGGATGTTTGTAAATACATGTTCACTATTATTATCATCAGAAGGGAAGATGAGATTCAGCAGCAAGTGTTGGTAAAGTAGGAAGGTAAGTTTACACTTCCGTAACTGCTTCTGGTTTGTGGTTTCAGATGGTCTTTGATATGCTGGTTCTTCAGAAGCACAACACAGAAATGACAACTGCAGCAGGTGAAGCATTCTACACGTTAGTGTGTTTGCACCAGGTATGGCATTTAGACACTTAGACCCTAAAACTTGGTCCTTTGTTAAAGGAGAGTAGTTATTTACTGTGTGTCTGGCAAGTCACAGAATTCTTCAAGTTGGCAGGGATCCTCGGGAGGTCTGTAGTCCAGCCTCTTGCCCAAAGTGAGTTCAATACTGAATTCAGACCAGGTTGCTCAGGACTTTTTCCGTCTGTGTCTTGAAAACCTCCAAGATGGACATTCCAAAGCCTCTCTGAGAAGCCTGTTGAATGCTTTATTATTCTTAAAATCCATGTGCTTTCAGCACCTGCCAGACAGTCTTGGTGGCCCACCACTGGACTTATTCAAGTTCATCTTTCCTGTGTTAATGAATCCAAAAAACAGGTGCAGTATTGCATATCTAAAAAGGGCTGTGCGAAGACAAATAATAAATACAGCCCAATATGCTGCTAGTGTTCATTGCTGACATGGCACGCTGCTGACTTGCTTAGCCTGCTGTTCACCTAGGACCTTCAAGTCCTGTATTCAACAGAATTGCTCCCCAGTCTGCAGTTGCAGGGGGTGTAGTCTGTCAGCTACAGGACTTTGTGTTTGCCCATGCTCAGTTTTGTGAGGTTCCTGTCAGGCTGGAGGAATGAACTAATTAGGTGTCTCTGAATGTCAGTCCTGCCCTTGAATGCACTGGCTGCAGTCCCTAGTCTGGTTTCATGGACAGACTTGAGGGGAGTGTTTCCCCTTCTCAAGAGGTTGCTGACTGAAATCTGGAACAGGACAAGGCCCAGAGGAGAGCTCCAAGTGCCACTCGTAACCGACTTCCCTCTGGGATATAAGCCATTAACCACAGCTCTTTAGAGGCTGATGATAAAGGTGTGTCTTCACCCATGTAGTAGTCCACCCATCTCTTAAACCCATCATGCTTCCTTGCGTTCCTACTACTTTTGGTCTGTCTCCTCACTTACATACAAGCTGTAACCACCATCCCCCAGCATGTCCTTTAAAGCCCTTCCTGACAGGCTGGTAGGCCTTCAGCAAAGATTTTTCTAAGACATCTTGTTGTATGGATCCTCTCTCTTGTTAGCATCACTTAAACAGGGACTCATGGTCGTGTGAGACAAAAAGACCCTGTGGCACTAGCCATGTTGTGTCTACCCCTACCCAAGCCCTTCACCAGTAGAATTGAGGGGACTGCCGTTCTGGCTCATGAGTCCTTCACCCTTGCTCCCAGAGCTCATCAGTCACTCTGGATGTGGTGTAGGTACCCTTTGGCAGTGTCCTTTCAGTCACGTTTAACATGTTTCTTTGTCTTCTGTTTCTGTCCAAGTAAGCACTGAGAGTCAGTAGGAAGCTCTCTGAAAGGAGTCTAAGCTCTCTGTCCCATGGAAGGGAACCTAGAGGAGAGGCCTGTGGGAGGAGGTGGTGGGTATAGCATGCCAAGCATGGGGCAGGCACGAAGAGAGAAGTGTGGTTTGCAGGAATAAGCCTATGATAAGTAAAAGCCAGAAGATGCTTTGAAGGATATGTCTTTAAGTTTTCTTCTCAGTCTGCACTGCTGAGCACCATGCCTGGCTCTAAAGGCTTTAAAGAAACCTTACTAAAAAACTCAGTCTGGTTGAAGGACTTTATCTGGATTAGAGGTTGGTGAAAGGCTGCAGGTCTAGAGATGCTTCTGGCATCCTTGTCAATGAAACTGGAAAACAGGTGTAGAGGTACTGATGGTCTTCTGTCACAGCCTTGATTCCGGATCTTGTCCTGATGACAGAACTTGTATGTATTGTTGTGTTTTGGGGTATTTTTAAAGTCGGCAAGATGTGTGTTTATTTTACAGGCCGAATATTCAGAGCTAGTTGAAACGCTGCTATCAACTCAGCAGGACCCAGTAATTTACCAGCGGTTAGCAGATGCCTTCAACAAGCTGACGGCGAGCAGCACGCCTCCTACACTGGACCGTAAGCAGAAGATGGCCTTCCTAAAGAGTTTAGAAGAATTTATGGCAAATGTTGGTGGACTTCTCTGTGTGAAATAAACAACAAAACTCTATGCCTAATTAAGACCCTTTCTGCAAAATGCACTGAGAAATGCTGAATGCTGACTAAATCTTGTACCTGTCTCTGGGTTCTTGGCAGCCATCTCAGACTCTAGAGAGCCTGGAAGTATGAACATAACACAACGGAACAGGAGAGGTCAGCTTTGAAACAGCTTCTGCTATTATGTGTTAGCTGCAATCTGTCATACTTGTGTGTGGGAGAGAGAGAACAGAAAATCTGAATTTAAATTTTTTCCATATATGTGCAAACACATATGGGCACAATGAAAAATGAATGCAGTGCCTTCCCCCCTGCACTGGTTTAAAATATGAGTGGCCAGATAAACATACAGATTTCTTTTCTACCCAAAATCATGTTAGTGTGATGCAGATACATATAAAGCCCTAAACAGTTTAGCTGGTTTTAAGCTTTATTTTTCCTCTCTTGAAGTTTGAGTTCATGTTCCAATGGGGAAGAAAAACCAAATGATATTTTAACTTGTGTTTAGTTCTACATCAACCTGACACGGCATGTTTAATGCAATGCAGGGTTTTACATTATGTTCTGCTGCCTAAAGTTTGGGGGAGGGGGGGGGAAAGGTGTATATTTTTGTTCCCCTAAAATGGACTTTAGGAACTGTAGCCATTTCATTGCCTTAATTTAAAAGGAAAAAAAAGAGTCATATACTTTAGATAAGAAATGTAAGGCAAGATGTGACTCTTCAGAGCTGGTTTAGGCTGTTGGCATTAAGCTGTTGTGTACCTGTTGCAGCCCTTCGTGTTGATGTGTTATTTTTGGAACGAGTGTCTAAGGCAAGGTTCATGTGTCATTTTACTTTCAGTATCTGTTTTGATTCCTAGCCAGGTTGCACGCAACTGCAATGTATTTCTATGCTGAACTGTTTGCTTAAGCAATAACAACTCAGAACGTGTAAATTACTGGCAAACTTTTTAGTTGGGGCATTAGCTAAGACAATTATGCTAGAATAGGGGTGTCAAACCCCTTCACTCAAGGGCCATGTTTGTTTGACTTGGGAGAAAGGTAATTGGGATGTGTAGTGCTGTGGGGGATTTTTGGTTTTGCTGAATCTAGCTCCAGTTCTGCAGAGCCCTCCCAGCTGCTCTGCTCCTCCTCATTTTTTTCTTATATCAGCACTTTAGCTATTATAACAGCATAATATTATAGTGCCCTGAGTATAGTGGACCAACAAGGGAGAAGCAGCACACGAATACAAAAGCAAGGCCTGCTTTGTATCCAGTCTTAAGTGAGAGAAAACCGAAGCAAACACAAATGCTGCGTGTCTAGTAAAATTGATGTCTGTGGAAACACATGGAGGCAGAAGCAGGCCCTGTAGTTTAAGAGCTCTACTAGATTATGCTGTTGAATATTTAAAATTTATATACAATGTACAGTATACACCCTTACATGGCTATATATAGCATCATGTTTGCAGCTCTGTGCCATACTTCAGCTATTCATCTCAGAATTAGTCACAATAGCCAGAATTTTAGAAGATACAAATCTATAATACTGTGCTATAAGTGATCTAAGGCTTTCTTTTATTTTTTAGTTAAATCCATACCTGTCTCAAGCATGGATCCACAAGGCCAAAAGTGTCATCTTTTCATTATACTTTTCTCTTAACTTATGAGAAGAGGGGGCTAGGGCAGATTTACACATTTAAGAGTGACCACAAAACTTGATAGATAATATACCTTCCCAGCTGTATTGCTCTCAATTTTTTCTTGAAACTCTAATGCTTTTCCTTAAAAGACTTCATGACTGTGCACTTGCACAAGATAGTGATCCTGGCTGATTCTTCTGTTTTAAAACTTTTCTCATGGTTTATTGTTCTTAAATTTTTCTGGGTTTTGCTGTTTTTGAAGCTGCTTCTGGAGTTTCTCTGAGATTGGATAGGGCAGCAGTTCTGAAATATCTTTTTTTTTTTTTTTCTTCAGATGAAGGGTATTAAAGCCTGGGAACATTAGTGGCAGTAGGAGCTGCTAGTTTGTCATCATGTGTTGGATGTCAAATAGCTAGGCCAAAGTTTCCAGAGAGATCATAGCAAATACTTTCAAATTTTTTGGATCTGACTGAATAACTGATATACTCAGTCATCATTTCTTTTTAACTACCTCTGTCACTAGCATTTTTTTAATCCTAAAACTGGCTCACTATTTTAAAATATTAACATTAAAATGTTGTCCTCTTGCATATTGTGGTTGATGAATGGGAGCACGGATTGAGTTAGCATTCAGGACAAAGCAGCGTGCATACCCATTACTTTTCTTGTCAAGCCCACTGTGGTGTTGTGAGCAGCATCTTTTGACTATCAAGACTTGCTACAGTATGAACACTTATTTTCAAAGACGCGTTTTGAAGTTTGCCTGAAACTTTCCATTGCTCTTCATTTAATATGTTAAAGGGAAACTGTCCTAGTAAGGTTGGTTTTGTAATTTTCCTGCTTGATATTATGCTAGACAACATTCTTCCTTTTTCTTTTCTTAATTTTTCTTCCATTTTCGTAGGTTCAACAGGGATCTTTCTGTACTGTTTTGTTTCTTTTACAGCAAATCCTAAGATGTCTCAGCTTAGTGACATTCATGAAATTGTTGCTGAAGGTTCTGGGAATAAGTTTTATTAATTCATACTCCTGCTGACTAGGTGGCTGCTTCTACATAAACTCTTTGGCTTATATATCCCTTCCAAAAAACAAACAAACAAAAATCCATCAGTGATCTGCAAAAAAAATCCATCTGCAGATCCAGTTGCTGTCAATGGAGATGCGAAGGTTCACTCAAGTCTATTGGAAAGCAAACATTGAGAGCTGGCCCCACATAAGCATTCTAAAATTTTTATAGCATCACTGCATTTCTTTCCTGTTCACTGTATGAAGTGAATAATGGCTCTAAAGATGCACCTGTTTTTTGAAAGGGGGGGCGAAAAAGGCAACTCAAACTGAATTATAAAAGCTGCATGATATCATACAAATATTTGTCAAGACTTTTTGCTAAAGCAGATTATTGGTCCACTGTTTTCATTCTGATACTAGAAATCAAGTAGCTTCTTTCTCATTTTGCCAGCTCCTTCCCCATTGTAATAGTTAGTTCTAATGCTGGCATAGTAATTGACTGTTGTTCAACCTACAATTTTCCATGCTGGCAAGCATGCCCCTCTATTTGGGTCATGAAATACAAGACCTTTCTGAAAGCACAGATACAGATGGACAGGGAGAAGTAGGCTTCTACTATATAAAACTTCCACTTTCATGTGCATTTATGCCTTAACTTCACTGAATTGCCACCAAAATCTGCTACTTATTGCCCAGAGTTTTGTGTTTCACTGTTTAGTGATAAAGGGCTCACTGTTTTCCTCAGGAGAGAGAAACTTGTTTTCTCAGCATGTCCAAATGCTACTAGTGAAAAGCGAGGGGTCTGAGTCAGAGTCATCTCTTCGATAATGTGTTGCACTCACTAAAGCTCGCCCAGTGTTTACCTGGGTAAATCCCTTTACATATAAGCCATGTAGTTCTAGAAAATAAGCTTGCTGAGAGCAGTCAGTTGTCAATTTAAAATTTAATTCTTTAAAAGGTAAAGCAAATTCTAATTTGTGATCTGTAAAACTGTTCAAAAATACAAATAGCAACATTTGTCTTGTAGAACAAGTAATTTTCAGTTTTGGTTAAATAAGTACATAAGAAGGGGTGTTTTTTTATGGAAGTAGCTTGATGAATATAAGCGCAGGAGTAGGAGCCAGGCTCCTCTAATTTTGTACCAGTTTTTCCACTGGATCCTCTGTGGCCATTGGCAAGTCACTAGAACTGTGTTGTCTTTAAAACAGTGGTAGTACCTGCCTACCTCACAGGGATGTTGTGAGGATTAGGTTATGCCTATAAAATGCATTGAGGATCTGAGATGCTATGTAAATATTAAATATTTTTGGTTTAGTTGTGAGGTATAAGATTTAGTGTAAAGAAAGCAGGAGATTTTCAGAATTACAAAGCCCAGCAGAGGCAGCAGTGGTGCAGTATTCTCCAGGAGTGGTCTAGTGCAGTTCAGTAACACTTGCTCTAAGTTGTACTTACGTCATTTACAGCCAGTTGAAACGGTGGCTGCCTCTCAAATAAGACAAGATTCCCCATCAGCGTGCCTCAGTTCTGGTCTACACAGGAAGAGGACAGTTGTTAGGTATTGAGGTTTGGGTGCCTCTACTTGTGACAAATGCCACCTGTGGCAGTAGGGTTTTTGTTTGGGTTTGGGTTTTTTGTGCTTTTCTGCAAGGAACAAACACCACTCGTTTCTCCCATATCTGTTCCAGTCACTCAGTATAACCAAAGCTTAATGATAACAATTAAAATTCAAAGAGCCAGCCCTGCCCCCCTGCCCTAAATTTGCTTTTAATATGAGTAGATTGTGCTCTCCCTCCAGTAAATGAGATTAATGCTTTATAGCACTAATCATGAGCCAAATCATGAAGTGTGAGTTGCTCTGGAACCTTAAGCTTTCGGCCGTCTTATGAACCCCTCTTTTCAATGTAAGGTTTCTTTGGGCTGTGGTAACTGAGAAGTAAGACCCCTGGCTTTACCTTCTCCTCAGAGAATTAAAGTGGATTCTGCTTTTTTTCAGTTCTTCCCTATCCTGTTTTTCCTGTCCTTTGAAGCCATTCTTCTAAAAGATTTGGAAGACTCTTCCAACCTCAAGGGAAAAATCCTACCCATGTGATTTTCCAATCTATTGCAGCTTGATACTTGAAACTGATAAAATCCTTTCTAATAGCATTCCCCAGCACATTTCAGTCTCCCACTGAACCATTCTAGAGTTTATAATTAGGAAAAAAATATTATCCTCTTTCATTCGTTCCCTTTGTGCAAAATAAGGAACCATGCAGTGAACATGCAGTTTTAAGGCAATAAATGCTAGTACTGCTGTTGGTCATGTGTGTAAATATTTTAAATGTATAATTCAGTACTATGTTGACTTTATATATTAAAACCACAGGGATTGAAGTGCTAGTTGATTTCAAATATTGTTTTACCTGTACAGTTGAAGATATGAAGTTGCGTAGAAATATTTCACAATTTGTTGCAATAAGACTTTGGAAGTGGCTATGTAATCAAGCCTCATCACAACTGAATTTTCAATTTTGAGAAGAACACTCTGTATTTTTAAGATCCATAAACAGGAGGAGGATAAAATTGTTTTCCACTAAAGACTTTTATTATTTTGTTTTGGCTGTGTGTGATGTGTGTATTTTTGCTTAATATGTTTCCAAAATCTCACCTATGTTGAATCCCTGAAATAGCATTTGTTATACCACCTCATGATAGGTTTCATAACCTATTTTTGTTTCTAAGGCTAAAGTTAAACAGTTAAAGTTGATCGGGTAACTTTAATTTACATCAGCACTTAAAGCATGAGTCTGTCCATCAACAGAAAAAAATGTGGTTAGGTGTGCAACAGGAATATCCCCCACTC